GCCTTGAACTTTGTTGTATCAACACCACTTGCTTGGAGGACAGTTTTAATCCATCGACCTATAGTACTAGTACTAACCGGTCGATAAGGCTTCACGTAGGATATGAGCAGTCGTGAATTGCCTTCATTACGTACACTCTTTGTCACTTCAAGATAGTGTCGAAGAGTGGAATAAACACAGAGTTCCTGTTTGATGTACTTCTTAACAATAAACGATGCAGAAATCAATATCGAGAAATGATAATGTCTGACATCTTTGTCCAGATGTGAGTGCTCGCAAAATAACTAATTTGAATGTTAGTTCCTTTAATGAAAGTTTCTCCAACGGCGACAATAGCTCTATGTATTTCAGTACTGGGTTGACATCCCAAGTCTCCTGATAACGAGGAGTAGGTTTGACAAAATTAAACACTCCCTTCAAATAGCGTACAACAAAGGGGTGATCAGTAATTGTGTAGTGAGTACCAGGAAATTCAAATCCCATTAAATAGTTTGACAAAGCCGAACGTGCTGTATTAATTGTGGAATAGGATAGCTCTTTGATGTGCAAACTGTGCAGAAACTCTAACACGTCATTGATATTTGGGCGCAATGAATCAACTTTCCTCTGTAGACAAAATTCACCCCACCTCCTGATGTGAACATCATATTGCTTCTGTGTACTTGGCCTCCATGAGGACATGAGGACATTGGTAATGTCCTCAGAAATGCTGCATTCAATGAACTGTTGCCTGATACCTTGCATGCCATGAGTTGTAGTTTGCGGCTCAGCGGATGAACATCTTCGTGAACTGGATGGCAAAGCAGTTTCCTGGTGACAAGGAACATTCTGGGCCGATGGATCAGGAGACTTAGAAGCCTTGTAAACCAAGCTTGTGTGGTCCACAGAGGTACTATGATGGTCACTGTTGCTTGTTCCAAATATATTTTTTGGAGACATCTACTGATTAAACAGAATGGTGGAAACATATAACTGTTAGTGAACTGGGACCAATTCACAGTGAAAGCATCTACATAGGTTGCACAGGGATCTTGTTTCCAAGAAACATAGGTATTCGTTTGATGGTTGATTCGACTGGCAAACAGATCAATCTCAGGGAACCCATACATTCTATCCCATCTATCCCATTCTATCCCATCCTCAAAATGGCGCGACAGTAAGTCTGCAATGGCATTCAGCTGCCCCGGCTGATGAGCCACTGAGAGCCAGAGGTGCCGACTGATGGCCCATAACCAAATGTCCTTAGCAATCTGAGTGCATTCCTTACTCTTACAACCTCCCATAGCATTAATATAGGACACTGTGGTAGTATTGTCAGATAAGATCCTAATGTGTTGGTTGGATACTGATTCAAAAAGGGACATGAGCTCCAGTTTAACTGCGAGCATCTCCAGGACATTGATATGATATTTCCTCTCCACTTGGGACCATAGACCTTGGGTTTGACTTTGGGAAGTCCAAGCACCCCAACCCACAGAAGATGCGTCAGACGTAAGAATCATGGTTGGGATACCATGCACAATGTTTCTCCTTGCAGCAGGGAGGGAACTGACTCACCATTCTCATTCTTGGAGACTTTCCCTGGAAAGGGACATTTTCTCATCAATATCCCCTTGGGTAGCTTTTAGGGACACATCTTTGTCTCATTCTAAATTTCTATAATACAGCGGGCCAAACTCCACCCCAGAAAATGTTGATACCAAAGTTCCTATCAAAGATGCAACTTCCCGAATGGTATATGCCTGTCCACATAAATACTTTTGACACATAAGGACAATTTTCTCAATCTTCCTTGGGGTAAAACAAACTGTCATGGTGTCAGAATTTAACACGAAACCCAAAAACTCTAATGACTGTGTAGGATTGAATATAGACATGCTTAGGTGAATGACAAAACCTAGACGAGTAAACAGCTGAGCTGCATGTATGGTAGCCTCACGACAGGCATCTTCAGTATCGTCCGTGAAGAAAGAGTCATCAAGATATCCCAGGCAATTATGTTCATATTGAGTTCGTAAGGTGAAAAAACAGGTTTGAGGACTTTCGTAAAAATACGTGGACTACTTGTCAACCCCATTGGTAGGGCCCGAAATTGAAACAGGTATCCCCTCCATGCAAACTTGAGAAACATTCTATAGGCAGGAGATATTGGTATGGAGTAATAAGCATCTCGCAGGTCGATTGAAGACATAAAACACCCAGGCCTCATTAATTTGATTGCAGACTCAAGCGTA